AATCTAGAATCACTATTAGACTAGTTTTCATCATTAATGTTTATATTATTACACCATCCCAAAGCTGAAAACATTGATTAAAATAAAATATTCAAAATGCTTAAAATGTGATCATTGGTGTATTTATCGCAATAAATTTTGGACAGTAATTTTCAAATAATCAAATTGTTTTTTATTCTCATAAATTGGATTTTTCGTTGTAAAATGTTAGTTAGCTGCCAAAATACATACTTTGGTGTTATGTTTTTGATAGCCAATACTTTACTTTAATGGATACTAATAAAAAGTATTAAAACAACAAAAATTTATTTTAATAATTTTCCTTTTGCTTTTGATTTGAATTAATACCAAAGTTAATTGTTTAATTGTGTGTATTTATTCAAAGAAATTTTAAATAGTCTCTATTTGCTTCAAATTTAAAGATTTGCGAAGCAAAATGATCCAAGTTTTTATTATTAGTTTTTATATAACAGTTTAATGAAAACTTTTATAAATCCTAAGAAATGAAAAAAAAAACTTTTTTAAATTTTTAAGATTTTTTTCATTTCTTAGGATTTATAAAAGTTTTCATTAAACTGTTATATTTTTGATGTAAAATTTATTAAAAAAGATATATTCAGTGTTTTGGTTATCTTTCTTCTCCTAATACCTTATTTCCTGTAGACTGTTTTTTTGACAGCTGCAATTTTACCAACCATAACTTTTTTTATGTAACCCCTGTTAGTGAGGGAGGCNGATACAATAGTCACGATTATTATTTTAAAAAGTTTACGTTAGGCTTAACATCGTCGAAAATTCAACGCGAAGCGACACACAACGGAGAAAAATTTCAACATAGGATAGGTTAATATATTTTTTCGTACATAATCGGTTATCCGAAATATTGATTTTCCGAACAACCCCAGTCCCCAATTGATTCAAATAAGCGACGCTCTACTGTATAATAATGTTTGACTAAGACATTACTATGATGTATTTTAAAAGATTAAAGTACATCATAAAGTTGATAGGAGGTTAGCTGTGTTGTTTCACAGATACCGTGCACGAAAATATTTTTGCTAATTTGGGTTTGTTTCTGTTTTTGTATCTTACATACTTGCATTAATCAATAATGATCATCAATTGATTGCTGGGAGTCACTGTCATGATATATTCTATAATCTTCCAGTCTTCTGACTCAATTTCAGTGTCATAATTAAGCTCTACTGGTTCTTCTCTTTCTTCCATCAATTCCCTCACAACTTGTTCTAAAACTTCATCCAATTCCTCCTGGGTGAAAGCTGTGTGAAAGTTAGAAACCTCATAAAAACCCCAAAAGTTGTTTGGTATATTTTCAAACTAATATATAAATTTAAGAACTTATTGAAACCTACAAACTACATTGTTAAATAAAGATATTTATGCAGTAGGTATGCAAAAACTTTAGTTTAGTTTATTTTTTAACCTACTTTTTCAAGTAGGTTAAAAAATAAACTAAACTAAATTATACTTACTTTGCTAGGTTTATAGTGGCAAGTATGCTGCAGATACAATGCCACTTAATTCAAAGCTTGGAAACAGCTAAATGGTTAGAAACAGGGAGACTCACTTGACAAGTAGGTGGTGACATATTCTATGAATAGAGAATAGTGAAATGCACTTCTGCATCACTTTATGTACAGCATCTTGAACAAGACATTATCAACATTTTGCATCAGTTTGCCATAGGTATATCTTCCAAATGGTTAAATATGATTAACATTTCTATATATCAATAGTTTTTCATTTGTTTAAATCTATTGTTTTGCATGAGAACTGGTATGGTGATAGTTGAGACATCATTCATTACAAGAATACTTGAAATACTTGATTCATTATGCTTAAAAATAATTTTTACAAAGTCAATTACTTCACTTTACATGTAACTAGTGAATTGATATTAAAAAATGCACTAAGATAATTGTGAAAGTGAAGAATTTGTAATGTTTTGTGCTGTATTTGTTAACTGAAAATGAGAAACTGAAAGTGAAGTTAATATATTTTTCTAGATATGGTTGAAAAGCAATCAGCATTATTGAACGATGCTATAGATGAGTAATGGTGTTTTAAATATGACCTAGAACAAAAGTGTCAGAAAACAGTGATAATCAAAAAACAGCTGAAAATGTTAATTTTTAGAAATTAAAATCAAGACAATGATTTCTACATTTGACTCCTCTATAATTTCCATAAAAAGTTTGTGCCATAACTTAACAATAAAAACCACATTCTCTGTTTAAGTACAGAAGGTATTGTATAGCAGTAATATTTAAAATATTTTTAATATTTTAATTTCTGTCTTACTTCAAGCCTTTGTTCTGTATGTATAATCTGGAACTTTATACTTCCTGTGCTGCAGCCCACATTCAGAAAAGGGTGGAAAGGTATTATTATTATTGTACTTATATTAGAACATATGCTAGCATCTTGCAGTTGAAGAATTGAGGAGAAAGCAATATATTTGGACAGTGATCAAGGTTTGAAGTTACACTTCATATCTGATTTTACTAACCAGTTGGAATCTTTAATAAGGAGAAGCCTTTGATATACATAAGATTAAGAAATAGGCTGCTGTACCACTAACTCTGTAAGAGAACATTACATACAGAAGAAAGGAAGGTGATTACAGTCGATCCCACTATAACGCTGTTGATTTTTCTGTTTTATATGAATTCCATGTTGTACGAGTCATCTAGATTTTACAAATACGTGTGCTGGGCTGTGAATGGCTCACGTATTTGTAAAATCTAAGTGACTCGTACAACATGGAATTCATATAAAATGGAATAATCAACAGTGTTATAGGGGGGTCGACTGTAATTCATTCTATAATTAAAATACTCTATTCATTATGGGATTTTGAGCTGTTTTAATAAGACATATCTATATACCAGATCTGTTTGAGTTAGAATATTTCTTTTACTCTCCATCTCATGTGTAAATGATAGTGGATTTTAATTTAGAATTTGGGGAGGAGAGGAGAATATTTTTAATTATGATTATCTTGATCTATTATAAATCTGTCTATACACAGTACATACTTGCTAATTTTAACTAATTATTGTACAGGATTGTTTGAATTAGCATGGTTATAAAGAAATGGAATCAAATGACCAGATAAATACTGGGGCATATCCAAGAGCAAATCTCTGTGCAATTTTTAATTTATGTAAGAAAATAATAATGATTTTTGGATAAATAAATATAAAATACAAAGCTATATTGCCATCACATTTCATTTCTTTAAGCCAACCCAAAAACTGAGGCGTTGGTATCCATTTTAAGTCATACTTATTTTATAGAGGAAATAAATTCTAAAGCTATATCATATTTGCAATAATAGCTTGCATTAATAATAATTTTTGGGGAGGACAAGCATCTCATCACCACCCTCTCTATCTAAGCCTGGACATATACCTATACATATATTTTTTGTAAAAATTTGAATGTATAATTCAAATTTTTATACTACTTTGATACATATATTTGTGTTAAAATATGTAATATAGTAATTTTACAAATTTTTTTTTTTGTTTAAAAATCGAATTGCTTTTTGTTTCTTGTCTGGAACATAGTGACAAAATGGCCAAAATTAGTTAGGATTAAGTGGGATTTGACTCTGTAAGCTTGCATTGTATATTATTTGTGATATGTAATAAAGGCTGTTATACATACAATCTTTAAACTTTACAATTACTGGTTACAATTTGCATTATGAAGTTATGTATATTAAGAGAGCTAATTCTTAATACATGACAATGTAGTCACTCATGTTTCAATATTGATGATGAGATTTTTGATTTAATAAAAAATAGAGAGGATTATTTTACTCTGGCATTTATCAAGTTTGAGGGCAGAATGATGACGATTGTTTTTATTTAAATTAAATGCCATTAATGGAAATGCATTTTAACATTATTGATAATATATGTAGAACTTTGATCATAATTATCTATCAGATTTTATTGAAGGATATTTACAAACACTTTGAATTATTAAAAGAATATTGTAAAAATTGTCTGAAGTCTGTTGGGAACAATTTTGATAATGATTTTGTTTATTGTTCTGTAAGGGGTGGCTGCCATTGCAAATGTAATTTTTATTGTTTAAAAGTTAGAAGTCATGTTATTTTTCAGACCTACTATAGTTATTGGGTAATTTTTTAAGTTTATTTATATAATAAAATACAACCAATTTACTTTAAATGATCAAATTGACAGTTTCAGCAATTTTTTTTTTCTTACATTATTCTTAAATCTTAATGAATTCAATCATCTCTCATAACTACATTATCTAATATAATTTCTCCATATTTTTCAACGAAATATTTTCCATTAACAACTGATCTTTCAATAGGGATTAATTTGCATTATAACATGCTCCTTTGTCAATTAGATAAGTGAAAACTTTTTACTTGCAGTAAAATATTTTAAAGAAAAATAAATTAAAAAGATTGGAAAAACATGACAATAAACATTTTTAAGATTCTTCAGTTTTAATATTAGATTCTTTACACTGCTTTGGTTCCAAATTGTTCTTATTCTAAGGTTTGAATTTTAAATTTGAAAACTTTCCTAGAAATTTCATGGCTCAGAGCACTTAGTATTTATTAAGTGCTCTGAATCATGAAATTTTTTTAAAAGTGAAATAAAATAAGCTTTGCTTTCTTCAGATTATGTAGATAAATCTGTATATCTGTAGATATTAATCCCTTCTTTCCTATGACAAATTCTATTATTTATAATTATTATATAACATCTACTTCTAACAAGTAAGAATAAGCATTTTTATAAGGTAAATATATATTTTTAGTTTTTAATTTATTCTTCTAGTATATAACTAATTAAAAATACTATTTTGAATTTAAAAAAATGAGAAAATTTTTAACAAGTTATTAAATTAGCACTTAACTTCTGAACTTCATGATTTGTGTAAATTATGTCATAAGTTATATATTTTAATTTATCCTAATTATTCATTAGTTGTGTTATGGGAGATCCGATGATGCAGGGCTACAACGATGGCTACATGGAACAGGAGGAGGAATGGGAGAGAGAAGGATTGTTGGATCCAGCTTGGGAGAAGCAACAGAGAAAGGTAACTTTTCTTTTGGTATTTCTGATCAATTGCTAAAAGTAACTATTAAATACTTTATTTAAAATTTTCATCATATTTTATATAAACAAATCATAAAAGAAAAGTTTTAAATTTATTCAATCCACTACAATGTTTCCAATAGCAATAAGCAGCTAGTTCAAGTACATTTATGTACCTATTGAAAAATAAATGTATTCGTCTTCAGATTTTATTATTTATATGTAAATTGTTACTGTTTAGTTGAATTAGATTTTTTCATAAAGTTATATCTATACTGAGAGAATTAAATTTGTTTAGAATGATTTTTTTTAAATTTATAGCAGAATTAAAGTATAAAGTGAAAACAAATTAATACAAAACACATTATGAAAATTAAAATGAATAATGAATTTATTATAAACCTATATTTATATGATTTCTTAAAATAAACTTTTATTTTGATTTTAATAATAAGCTCTCAGTTTTAGCACACACATTTTGTTTATTTTATTTACAATTATTTTATCATTATTCAATTGTTTACAGCTAAGATTAATCTATGGTAACTAAAATATGAAATGTAGTTGAAACATTGTAAGTTTTTGATGTCTGGAGAGTTTTATGTACTGTACTGTCGTATTATAAGTGTTAGCATTTTCTGTTGCACCTTAATTGATCACTGTGACACATGTGCTAATAATTCTTTCTTGCCTGACACCAAGCACATGACAACTTATTCCCTGCCACTATAGATGATTGCAATATTTCCAAAACTATTTACTTTTTCAAAAACTCAAAAACAATGTTTTTTTTTTTTTTAATTCTCTTTCCAATGACACCTAAATCTTCAGTTTGCTGCAGAGTTATAGAGCATTACACTACCTGCCAAGTGCATCTGTAGACATTCACATTAAAATTAATACAAAAATTGCCTGTTAATTTTTATATATATATAAAATGTTATGAAAAAGTAATTCTTTTTTGCTCAGGTTCCATTCTTTTTAATAACTCTTATTATAATATGTAAGTATGAATAAAACATTATTATAATGTACATTTGAGTAATTTATACTCATTGACTTGCTGATTCCATTCTTATAGTATGCTCTGTTTTGCAAATAAAAAAGGGTTCTAAATTTTTTCATTAAGACAAATTTTTTGCCCATTAAATTAAGGGCCTATTGTAATTTTAAATTCTATTAAATTTATATACAGTTTAATGTAGTGAACTAAAAATTAAAGTTTATTTAAAACTGACAATGAAAATTCTTTTTCATATCTAAACTTAGTTGATATAAAAATTAACTGGTATTTATCAAAAAATTACATTTTTTAATTTAATGCAGATTTATAAATATTAACAAAAGATTTTATACTTTTGGTTTTTGTAACAATTTATTTGTTACTTGGACGCACATGTTTCATTAACATTAATAATAACTCCAATTTGACAGATTTTTGCTATTTAATACTTGATATTAACAGTAACAAACAAATTAACTTTGTTACTGTTAATATCAAGTATTTAGGAATTTCAATTGCAAACTTATTCAGATAAGTTTGCAATTTTTTTTCTTTTCAAATGTAATTGAGCAGTATTAATTTATGAGCATTAATTCATGATGCATTTAAATTAATACATTCAGCAACAATAAGAGTATTGATATAATTTTTTCACTGGCATTCCCATTGTGCATTTTGTAGTGGCTGCATCTTCAAATTATAAAACATCAATGAAGAGGTCATTGTGTGCTACAATAATAAGTCTTCTCCTGTCTTGTATTTATTTACATGACACTTATCAATATGAAAACAAGGCTAACATCTTCAGTAGTACAAGGTTTTGAAGAATAGAGGGGGCTAAAGGAAATTAATGATGCACACTATGAATAAGATTTCTTCATTTTTTTCCCTGCATTAAAATTTAATCAAGAAAAATTTTTTAAAACTTAAAAATAATTTTTATGAAGGTTTTCCAATTAGTAATCAATTTTATTCTAAAGAACTATATAAAATGCAAACTATTTAGCTTGTAGTTTTTACCAATATTAATTAAGAGAAATGCTAAATGAAATATTATTATAAATCAAAATTTATCAAAATTTTTAAAATATACATTAAATCTTTATC